TCTTGACCAAGGAGACGCTCCTCCATGATGTCGACGGGTGCTCCTGCTGATTCCATGTAAGGTGTGTAATTCTGTCACGATGCTGTGGATTGGTGTGGTGTAGAATCAGGCGCAGGAAGCAGAGGATAAGTCCAACAAGACTTTACTAGAGCACACAAAAATAATCCAAACAGCCCGGAGGCAAAAAGACGCACACAGGCGTAAAATAGCGAGCGCACACACAGGTGCGAAAATACTCTCCTAAACACAAGGAGGAAGCTATGAAAATAGCGTACCGACACGGGTAGCGTAACAACACGACACGAACAATTACACACAACACTAAACTAACAACAAGGAAACTAAATAGGGTGCTAAATGAGACATAACACAAAACAGGTGTGACTAACAGACAAAACCAATCAAACAAGAAACATAGAGCGGTGGCAGCTAGTACTCCGGAGACGACGACCGTGGAAACCTGCCCGAACAAGGAGGAGGAGCCGCCTCGGCCGAAACCGTGACACTATTGGGCAAATCATAACACAATCAAAAGAAACTGTAAATGCATCCGAGTTGGTAGAGTCACAAGCTTGATGTAGTCATTGCGTGCTAGGAATATAGGACCAAATACTAAACTTTTGACTACTTTAAAAGCCCAGTGCAGTCAAAATTCAGTTTTTCCTGTGTTTGTATATCATGTTGTAAAAAAGCTGATGATACTAACACTGTAAAAGTGTTAAGAAATGTGATCAGTGTTATTTCCTGTTAGTTGCTGGTTGAAAATGCAATCTACACTGGACATTCTAATCAGCAGGTTTTGCATAGGTGGGGTTTTGGCTTGCTTGGTGGCAGTAGAAGTTATTATTAACCGGGTAGTTTGGATCCTAGATGCTGATTGGCTAAAACAGAATTCCAGCCATGTGTATATGACATGATATACTATGGGTATGATGCAAAAATACTTGTTTGCTGAAACATTCTATTTGATGTACCACTACGCATACCATGACAAATGACAAGAGAAAAGCAGTAAGGCTTCTATTACATTTTTATTAGCCTAGCATTCGGTTTGCAACACCCAGGATTTGTATAAACCTTGCTGTCTGCCTCGCCAACCTCGGCAACAATAATACAATGTAAAGTGCATTCGGAAAGTATTCAGACCCCTTGACTTTTTCCACATTTTCCTACGTTACAGCCTTATTCTAAAATTTATTAAATATTGTTTTCCTCATCAAATCTACACACAATACCCCATAATGACAAAGCGTAAACAGGTTTTTAGAAATGTTTGCCAATTTATAAAAAACAGAAATACCTTATTTACGTAAGTATTCAGACCCTTTACTATGAGACTCGAAATTGAGCTCAGGTGCATCCTGTTTCAATTGATCATCCTTCAGATGTTTCTACAACTTGATTGGAGTCCACCTGTGGTAAATTCAATTGATTGGACATGATTTGGAAAGGCACACACCTGTCTATATAAGGTCCCACAGTTGACAGTGCATGTCAGAGCAAAAACCAGGCCATGAGGATGAAGGAATTGTCTGTAGAGCTCCGAGAAGGGGTACCAAAAAATGTCTGCAGTATTGAAAGTCCCCAAGAACACAGTGGCCTCCATCATTCTTAAATGGAAGAAGTTTGAAACCACCAAGACTCTTCCTAGAGCTGGCCATCCGGCCAAACTGAGCAATCGGGGGAGAAGGGCCTTGGTAAGGGAGGTGACCAAGAACCCGATGGTCACTCTGACAGAGCTCCAGAGTTCCTCTGTGGAGATGGGAGAACCTTCCAGAAGGACAACCATCTCTGCAGCACTCCACCAATCAGGCCTTTATGGTAGAGTGGCCAGACGGAAGCCACTCCTCAGTAAAAGGCACATAACAGCCCACTTGGAGTTTGCCAAAAGGCACCTAAAGACTCTCAGACCATGAGAAACAAGATTCTCTGGTCTGATGAAACCAAGATTGAACTCTTTGGTCGAAATGCCAAACGTTGGCCTAAATGCCAGGTGTCTGGAGGACACCTGGCACCATCCCTACGGCGAAGCGTGGTGGCAGCGTCATGCTGTGGGGATGTTTTTCAGCGGCAGGGACTGGAAGACTAGTCAGGATCGAGGGAAAGATGAACGGAGCAAAGTACAGAGAGATCCTTGATGAAAACCTGCTCAAGAGTGCTCAGGACCTCAGACTGGGGTGAAGGTTCACCTTCCAACAGGACAACGACCCTAAGCACACAGCCAAGACAACACAGGAGTGGCTTCGGGACAAGTCTCTGAATGTCCTTGACTGGCCCAGCCAGAGCCCGGACTTGAACACGATAGAACATCTCTGGAGAGAACTGAAAATGGCTGTGCAGCGACGCTCCCCATCCAACCTGTGAGCTTGAGAGGATCTGCAGAGAAGAATGGGAGAAACTCCCTCAAATACAGGTGTGCCAAGCTTGTAGCGTCATACGACTCGAGGCTGTTATTGCTGCCAAAGGTGCTTCAACAAAGTAAAGGGTTTGAATACTTATGTAAATGTGAGATTTCCGTTTTTATGTTGTTTAAAAAAAAACACATTCTAAACCTGTTTTTGCTTTGTCATTATGAGATATTTTGTGTAGATTGATGGAAAAAAATGTTTTAATAAATGTTAGAATATGGCTATTGTAACAAAATGTGGAAAAGGTAAAGGGGTCTGAATACTTTCCGAATGCACTGAACAAAAAATATTAATTCAACATGCAACAATTAAAGATTTTACTGAATTACAGTTCATATAAGGAAATCAGTCAATTGAAATACATTCATTAGACCCTAATCTATGGATTTCACATGTCTGGGAATTATACTATGTTAATCTTAGAAAAACAATGGTCTAAACCTCATGTCTCTCATAATCCAATCAAAAGTTATTTGAGTTTTTACACTTGTAGGATGGCCAAGATTAGGGTGACTAAATCACGAGGTATTTTCATACAGTATTTTAGTATACGCTTTTCGTATAAATGTGAAATTCCTGTAATTTTTAAAAGATTTATCCAAAAAAACAAGTATATCTCTGTGAAATGTCAATGGATCACTGCGTGTACAAAGCTTTTTATTTTCGAAGCCTTTTACATTTAATTCCACTCGTGATGTTAATTTTGCTTTTTGCGACCCTTGTATTTGATTGATGAATTAAGGTCACTAATTAGTAAAGGAACACCCCACACCTGGTTGTCTAGGGCTTAACTGAAAGAAAAAAAGAAAAACCTGCAGACACTAGGCCCTCCATGGAATTAATTTGACACCCCTGCCCTACAATGTAGCAATGCAATCTCCCCTGTAGCCTACCATAGAGAGTGAAGTGTCCTGATGAGAGCAACTTTTCTGACCAGACCCAGGCTAAATATTGCATCAGCATGGTTATTATGGATATATCCAAAGAAAAGTCAACAGAAAACAGCTAAAACAAATGACAACTGAAGCTAGTTAGCTGTCATTTCAGCTGCATTGGCTAGCTGACAAGAACATTAGCCCACAGATGAATGGTTATCCAGCCTGCATAGCAACCATTATTTGATTGCATAGCAACCAGATTTTCATCTGGACTACTTCCTCTGGTGGAAGGATAAAATAGTATGAATTGAATTTATCTAAATAGTTTTTAATGAAAATATGCCACTCATTGTTCTAATATGTTGGTAACCTCTTCATGCATAAGAACTTCCCTTAGCCGTGGTATGTTGGCTATAAACCAAACCCCCTCTGGCCATTGCATAAATACAGGCCAATAATAAAGAGTTCCAAACCCCTCTGCCAATAACAGCTAGTTTTCAGATTACATAACCCTATCCCTCCCCACTACGGAGGCATTTCTTTTTTGACGGGGTGAAAATGTTTATTTCTTTAAGCCTAATTGTTTTATTTTTCTTATTATTTCTGACATTTGGTAGACTTTGTTTGTCAACTTGTCTATAATTAGATACATGCAGCTTCTCTCCAGTCATTACTTGTTGCCCCATAAGATTAAATAAAGCCTTGATTACCAGAACAATGTCAAATCGATAGACTGAGTGCATCAATAATCTAGTTGATATCGGTAAAGTTTTCTCTTGTATTTCTGCTTGTCTCCCGGAGCGAGGACATTTAGGGACCGGGGAGGAAATACAATAGCCTAACTCTAAAACAGCTAAAAGATTTTGATAACTTTGACCATTTTTAATGAAATAAAAAGCTGCGAAACCGATACATGTTTCTGATAAGATTTCAGTTCATAGCCTGTTATGTGCAGTCAGTTTTTGTAGCTGAAAAAGATGGCACGTTTACACACGGTCACTAATTGCGCATTCACATTCTCTCAAGATGCTGAAAGAAAAATAATTCTCCACTCCTGTTCCCGAGACAAAAGGTTATCATTTTACTGCAATAATTACTTTATTCTGCAGGAGTTCATGTTTTGCTAGTGCAGGCTGGAATATGTTCTGGGACACATCCGACAGCATCGAGGAGTTTACATCATCGATCATAGTTTTTTATCAAGAAGTTCATCGAGAAGACTCCATGGCTTACCGGTGATATCCGCGCTAGGCTACAGCTACTGCTGAATAGAAAACTAATACAGTAAAGTAACTAATTGTTACACAGAAATGAATTAATATTGAGAGAGAGAGTCTGCATTGGGCCTTTAATACACTATAAGTGAATTTGTGGGGGGACTAGATGCATTTGATCTCAAAATGGAGTATAGAGACGAATTACAGATTGTAGCTTCGCTGTCAAAATACATATGGAGGTAAGTGTACATGTGGATATAATACTGTATGATATGATCAACAATCGGTTTAGGAAAAGACTAAACTTTTACAGCCAAAGTGTGACTGACCGGGGTTTGAACCCAGGTCTCCTGTACTCAACAAGATGTGAAGCCTGCTAAGTTAAATTCATGCATATTTTCAAATTCTGCTCTATTTATGTTCACATGCAAACACGCATAGGGCGAACAGTTACCTGCTTCTTTGTGCCAACATCAGGCTGACAGAGGACAGGCATCATGTGGAGGAGCCTGTCCAAATATATCTGTATCTTCTTCCTGTTCAGCAACATCAACATTCTGGAGGTAGGATAAAGCCATCTGCACTCAAAACAAGTTACAGGTCAAACATGATTCATTTATCTCACATTGCTTCTATCACCATTTACCTCCTTTACCACCCTCTCCCCCTCACAGGGGAGCTACACTGGGGCTTAGCAAAAACTGTAGGTTTTTAGCTGCTACACTGGACACATAGATGTTTTACGCCGGCGTGAGCAGACCGCGAGCCACTTTACCAAATGTTCTCAGGTGTGAGCCGCGTGTCAAATTCTTGAAAACAGAAAAATAGCGTAATTTTACATTGAACAGCGCTAGCCTCTCACAGAGCTGTGCTGCTTACGTCCAGGTTTCATTGAAATTAATGGGAGTGTAGCACGCTCTGCAAAACATATGCTTCCAGTGTAGCACGCCTGTTGGTGACCTATCCTCTTTCCTTAGCAGAAGCTCAACTGCCAGACAGTGGAATTGTATTTACCTTCTGGCTTCCCGTGGACTGTTTTTGTACAACCCAATAGAATTGAAAGCAACGCTAGTGTATGTAAATACACCCGCGTTGCTAAAAGCAGCTAGGGTGTCATGAAAACAGTCGATTTTTAGATGCTACAATTGATGCATAGATTTAGTAGGCATCAGCAGAATGCAAGCCACTTTACCAAGTGTTATTGGGTGTTAGCCATGCGTCAAATTCTTGATAATAGTACCAGAGCATAATTTTACACTGAACAGCGTGAGCCTCTCATGGAGCTGTGCTGCTTACCTCCAGGTTTCATTTAAATGAATGGAAGCGTCACACGCTCTTCAAAAGTTACGTGTCCAGTGTAGCACGTCAGTTAGTGACCTCTTCTCTTATCCTCAGCAGAAGCTCAACTGCCAAACAGTGTCAACGTTCTACCAGAGTCAGAGCAGCATCCACCCAGCTTTCCTCCCAGAGGGCCCTTCTCCTCTGGGCCACAACCGGAGCTACTGTGGCCAGGAGCCCTCACCGGAGGAGGTTCTGGAGGAGCATGACCTCCTGGAGTCAATCGCCTGGCCACAGCCTCAGCCCCATTCTGTGAATGTTTTCCTGAACCAGACCAGTGACCCTGCACACAGCCTTTTTGTGATCCTGCCAGCAGGGGGCAAGAGAGAGTGGCACGTGGGGGACCAGCTGGAGGCTCTAGTCCATATGCACGATTTCCAGGGGCGTCCCAAGAGCTATGGTGGAGACTTCTTGCTGGCCCGGCTGCACTCCCCCAAGTTGGGGGCAGGCGTTGTAGGACAGGTGCTGGACCACAGGAATGGGACCTACTCTGCCATTTTCCCGTTATTATGGCAGGGGTCTGCACAGGTGGAGGTGACACTGGTCCATCCTAGTGAGGCAGTTCATGTTCTAGGACGGTTACGAGAGGAACGGCCTGATCGGATTTTCTTTAAGAGTTTGTTTCGCTCTGGAAAACTGTCCCAAACAACTGTATGTAACCTGTGTCTGCCGACAAACCAGGAGCCGCTGTGCAATTACACAGACCCCCACACAGGGGAGCCCTGGTACTGCTACAAGCCCAAGCTGCTGAGCTGTGACACACGGATCAACCACGCTAGCAGAGGAAACTATGTGAAACATCTACTCACCAACAAAGAGGCATTGCTCTTCCAGAGGTTAGTGAGGGGTACAATCCGTATGTGAGTGAAAGTATGTCTAATTGAATCACAGACTTTGTTTTCAATGTATCAGATTGCTTGCTGCTGTGGGTTTATTTAACATTTAAATATGATTCTCTTTCAATTCTTTCTCAGTGGTGTAAACATAAAGGTTCACATTCATCCTTCAGGGTCTGACAGTGTCATTGTGCTGCCTGAGAAAAAAGGTAGGAGAGCATGGAGATGCCACAGTACAACTGTGTGTTTATCTTTTTAACGCTAGCTAGCCAGCCTACTAACCGCTCTGCTTTGTGGCTGTATACTTCAACCCTGGAGTGGTTCTGGGTGTGCAGGACAGTATTCGAGCCCACTACTGCATCTACAGTAGTGTAAGGTGGGAAAGCACCTCTATTGCCTGTAAAGTGATGATGCTAGCCGGTGCAAGATGCTTGCGTTCCTCTTTCAGACAAAGCAGACGTGGAGAGAAGCAGCATGAAGACAGAGTCTACCAGGATCACTCCTTCCGGGTATTACTTCCAAGGGTCATGGCGAGCTCTGGGTGGTGGTGTGATGTGCCAGTTTAACGACTCGTCTGCCACTCAGTGTCTGAAGGGCAAGGTGGTGTACATGTACGGAGACTCTACTGTCAGACAGTGGTTCGAGTACCTCAACGCCTTATTACCAGGTGAGTTCTGTCTGCAAGTCCTGTGACATCGCTCACTCTCTGATGCCTCAGGTGCTTTCTAACTCGCTCTTCTGTCTGTCCAACTCCCAACTCTCCCTTCCTCTTTGTGACAGAGCTGAAGGAGTTCAATCTTTACAGTCCTAAGAAGGTGGGGCCTTTCATGGCAGTGGACAGCACCCACAACGTCCTGCTGAAGTACCATTGTCACGGTCCTCCAATCCGCTACTCTACTGTCATCGCCAGTGAGATGCGCTATGTAGCTAACGAGCTGGATGGCCTGACTGGCGGGTCGAACACTGTGGTGATTATCAGTGTATGGTCCCATTTCAGCACCTACCCTGTGCAGGCCTACATTCGCAGACTACGCCACATTCGGCGGGCGCTGGTGCGGCTTCTGGACCGGGCTCCGGGGACCCTGGTAGTGTTGCGCTCGGCCAACCTCCAGGCCCAGAACCCGGAGGTGAGCCTGTACAATAGTGACTGGTTCTCAGTGCAGCTGGACGGGGTGCTCAGGGCCATGTTCAGGGGTCTGGATGTCTTGCTGATAGATGCCTGGGAGATGACCCTTGCCCACCACCTCCCCCATGCCCTCCACCCGCCCCCCATCATTATCAAGAACATGATAAACATTATCCTAACTCATGTCTGCCCAGGGAAGAGCTAGCAGATTTGAGTTAAATGATTTATGTCAGAATTATCCATCATTCAACACCTATACAATATTGGCAATATGCCTAGTAATCCAAATTGTACATACTGTATCTGACATGTACGTTCTGTGTTTTTACTTACTTATGTTATGGTTGTTACTCTCTGAACATGTGGGAATAAAAAAATTAAAAAAGACCTGCACATTATTAACTCAGGACATTTTGTCTTCTCAACTCCAGAGCATTTAACAGAACTCCCATGTTCAAACATAGCTGGGTTGTTCTATGAGTAGAGTGCAGTTTTGTCCTTGTGACATTGTGTGTACATTTTTAATAGAACACTAAATTTAACAGTTGGATCACGTACATCTACCCTGTAACTAATCTAAACCACGTAAAAACTGTCAGTAGTGTGTTTTTAAATTATATCTAAATAAGTTGTGGGGGGAGGGGAAACTGATAGGCAACTTTAGTTGCTAGGCGGGGTGGGAAGGGTCGAAATCATGGTTTCCGGGAGGTGGGTGGTTGGATGGTGACATGTTGTCTGGGTGGGGTTGGAAGCCCACCTTTTTTTGTTCATTTTCCTTTGATATACTAAATGGATTATTACTAAACTGTTTAAGTTTAGTCAATTTGGTCACACATTTTTTTGTTCTTTGAAAATCCCCATTTTGGCACGTCCCATGTCATGTTTGTCCAACTTCTAAGAAGATTTTAACCCACTTAACCCCAGCATTTCACCATTTTGAAGCCCTAGTTATTTTGTTGCTTTGACAAAGTCATTTCTGAAGATTATTTACTGTGATTTAACATGACATTTTAGTCATTAAGCAGACGCTCTTATCCAAAGCGACTTACAGTTAGTGAGTGCATACATTTTTCATACTGGCCCCCCGTGGGAATCGAACCCACAACCCTGGCGTTGCAAGCACCATGCTCTACCAACTGAGCTACACAGAGCTACTCAGAAGCCATTGTCTGTGTCATGTTTTAAGTTCAAATGTTTTTTAAGCTTGCATTAATTTGGCCCTCCTGGGTGCACACTACAAGCTTCCAGTTATCGCTGATTTAATAGGAAATTGTCATACCCTGTTACGGTCAACCTTGTTACTTTAATTGTCACCTTTTTTATAGTCATTTTTCTTAATTTAAGCTCTGGAGATGTTAATTATAAAAAGTAACGTGCTCTTTGTGATAGAATGTTAAAATTAGGTGAAATAAATAGTTGGGGCTTTATTCAATCTGTAAAGATTCTACACAAGAAATGTAAAGGTAGTTTTTCGATTGAGCCAACATATACAGCGCTTACGGTGAATGCAGTCTCCGCTAAAGTGGGAACATTGCCTTTAAATTTAAATCACGCTGTAAAGCTGAACTTCCGCGATGCGGAGTGAATAGAACCCTTATTCTTTTCAAAATTCCACTACCCAAAAGGCACTACGTGGCCAAAAGTATATGGACACCTGCTCGTCGAACATTTCATTCCCAAAGCATGGGCATTAATATGGAGTTGGTCCCCCTTTGCTGCTATAACAGCTTCCACTCTTCTGGGAAGGCTTTCCACTAGATGATGGAACATTGCTGCAGGGACTTGCTTCCATTCAGCCAAAAGAGCATTAGTGAGGTCGGGCACCGATGTTGGGCGATTAGGCCTGGCTCGCAGTCGGCGTTCCAATTCATCCCAAAGGTGTTCGATAGGATTGAGGTCAGGACTCTGTGCAGGCCAGTCAAGTTCTTCCACACCGATCTCGACAAACCCTTTCTGTAGGGATCTCGCTTTGTGCACGGGGTCATTGTCATGCTGAAACAGGAAAGGGCCTTCCCCAAACTGTTGCCACGAAGTTGGAAGCACAGAATCGTCTAGAATGTCATTGTATGCTGTAGCGTTAAGATTTCCCTTCACTGGAGCTAAGGGGCCTAGCCCGAACGATGAAAAACAGCCCCAGACCATTATTCCTCCACCAAACTTTACAGTTGGCACTATGCATTCGGGCAGGTAGCGTTCTCTTTGCATCCGCCAAACCCAGATTCGTCCGTCGGACTGCCAGATGGTGAAGCGTGATTAGTCACTCCAAAGAACTCGTTTCCACTGCTCCAGAGTCCAATGGCGGTGAGCTTTACACCACTCCAGCCGACGCTTGGCATTGCGCATGGTGCGGCTGCTCGGCCATGGAAACCCATTTCATAAAGCTCCCGACAAACAATTTATTGTGCTGATGTTGCTTCCAGAGGCAGTTTGGAACTCAGAAGTGAGTGTTGCAACCGAGGAAATAATATTTTTACACGCTTCAGCACTCGGCGGTCCTGTTCTGTGAGCTTGTGTGGCCTACCACTTCACAGCTGAGCCGTTGTTGCTCCTAGACATTTCCACTTCACAATAACAACACTTACAGATGACCGGGGCAGCTCTAGCAGGGCAGAAATTTGACTAACTGATTTGTTGGAAAGGTAGCATCCTATGAAGGTCCCACGTTGAAAGTCACTGAGCTCTTCAGTATGGGCCATTCTACTGCCAATGTTTGTCTATGGAGATTGCATAGCTGTGTGCACGATTTTATACACCTGTCAGCAACGGTGTGGCTGAAATGGCCGAATCCACTCATTTGAAGGGGTGTCCACATACGTTTGGCCATGTAGTGTAGATCGATGACTAGGTTTGAATATTTTCCCGGTATTTTACATATGTTCCATCCCGAGAATAAATCGCTTTTCTCCCGGTAAACCCGGTATTTCCCGCCAAAACCGGAAGCTCATTATAAAGCATACAAATATGCTTGGATTTGATTAGAGATTTGATCATTTACATTTACATTTTAGTCATTTAGCAGACGCTCTTATCCAGAGCGACTTAGTTAGTGAGTGCATACATTTTCGTACTAGCATGAAAATTCAAATCTGATGCTACCTGAGCCTGATGAGCCATATATTAAATACATTTTATGAGCCCTACATTAATGACATTTAATGAGCCCAAGCCCAAAAAAGCCCAAATGATTGTGCCATTATCCAATACATACAATATATGATATAGGCTACTGCACATTATGCACAACCGAGAAATATAAAAGCACATAGATGTATCTAGCTATATGCTCTATTGGGTAAATAAATGAAACTAGCTCCAGTAGGCTAATCTTTTTTAGTGTGAACTGTATTACTGTACTGTACTGTATTATATGGACTGGAATTACGCACATCGTTCAATCCATGATAAAGCAGAAGAGAACATGCGATTCTGGGGCAGCACAAAGTTTCAAGTATAGGCTAACGAATGTGATTTTAATTTTGAAATATAATAGGACCTATGTGTATAATTAGTAGCCTGACGCATATATAGCTTACCTTTTCATAATATTTATCTCTATTGTTGCTTCGTTCATTCTTTGCATTCAACAGTTAAATGAAATATGTTTTGTTGTCCTTATCTTCATCATTCTGTGGGGATCTAGATGTGATGACTAGCTTAGAAGGAATGCATTAATGATTAAACATAATGGGTTTGTACTGTACTGATATAAATTGTTTCACATAACAAGCTGTGATTCATGTGAGGAGCTGTTAGGGAGTAGGGTGAGACAGACTTGTATTTCTCACAGACACATACACACTGCCTCTTTGTTAAACCATCATACTCAAGGACATGTGTACTGCAAAAAGTGCTGACTTTCTGGATAAGTTGCAAAACAACTAGACACCTGGCAACAGTGAAGCGCCAAGGGGCTGGGACCAGCCTGTGCGCCAACGGATAGGCTGAGTAAGTCTAAACCACGCTCAGTCTCTACCCTGATAGGCCCAGCAAGGAGCGGGAACTATCTTTGTCAGGTTATTTAAAGAACAGCCTGTAACAATGGATCAGTTCTCTGTCTGCCCTGCGTGGTATTTCAGTGAGCCCGTATACGAACCATCATACTTATCATACATACATTTTGCATATAATAAATTTAGCTTGGATTGAATACAGTGGGGAAAAAAAGTATTTAGTCAGCCACCAATTGTGCAAGTTCTCCCACTTAAAAAGATGAGAGAGGCCTGTAATTTTCATCATAGGTACACGTCAACTATGACAGACAAAATTAGATGTTGTTTCTCCAGAAAATCACATTGTAGGATTTTTAATGAATTTATTTGCAAATTATGGTGGAAAATAAGTATTTGGTCAATAACAAAAGTTTCTCAATACTTTGTTATATACCCTTTGTTGGCAATGACACAGGTCAAACGTTTTCTGTAAGTCTTCACAAGGTTTTCACACACTGTTGCTGGTGTTTTGGCCCATTCCTCCATGCAGATGTCCTCCAGAGCAGTGATGTTTTGGGGCTGTCGCTGGGCAACACGGACTTTCAACTCCCTCCAAAGATTTTCTATGGGGTAGAGATCTGGAGACTGGCTAGGCCACTCCAGGACCTTGAAATGCTTCTTACGAAGCCACTCCTTCGTTGCCCGGCGGTGTGTTTGGGATCATTGTCATGCTGAAAGACCCATCCACGTTTCATCTTCAATGCCCTTGCTGATGGAAGGAGGTTTTCACTCAAAATCTCACGATACATGGGCCCATTCATTCTTTCCTTTACACGGATCAGTCGTCCTGGTCCCTTTGCAGAAAAACTGCCCCAAAGCATGATGTTTCCACCCCCATGCTTCACAGTACGTATGGTGTTCTTTGGATGCAACTCAGCATTATTTGTCCTCCAAACACAACGAGTTGAGTTTTTACCAAAAAGTTATATTTTGGTTTCATCTGACCATATGACATTCTCCCAATCCTCTTCTGGATCATCCAAATGCACTCTAGCAAACTTCAGACGGGCCTGGACATGTACTGGCTTAAGCAGGGGGACACGTCTGGCACTGCAGGATTTGAGTCCCTGGCGGTGTAGTGTGTTACTGATAGTAGGCTTTGTTACTTTGGTCCCAGCTCTCTGCAGGTCATTCACTAGGTCCCCCCGTGTGGTTCTGGGATTTTTGCTCACCGTTCTTGTGATCATTTTGACCCCACGGGGTGAGATCTTGCGTGGAGCCCCAGATCGAGGGAGATTATCAGTGGTCTTGTATGTCTTCCATTTCCTAATAATTGCTCCCACTGTTGATTTCTTCAAACCAAGCTGCTTACCTATTGCAGATT